AACAATTTCACAGAATATTAGCAATAGTTCTTTCGGTAGTCGTATAGATATTTAGGTTTCTAGAGATCTTATGAGTATTTTAGTACATATTTGCTGCCGCAGTTACTAACACAAAAACCATGTAGGTTATTTAGGATTTGTAAGATAATTTCTAAATACGTCCTTTAGAATTAAAAAACTGGCATTAATATTAGATTAAATAAAATTAATTTAGTCTTTGCTGAAATAAATCTAATTGGTCCGATATTAATGCCGGTATAACTTGTTCTTGAAAGCCTTACTTTAGAGACTTTCATATCACCATCTTGCAAAACTCGGTCAAAATGAAACAAGGAGACACCTAAGCACTCCTTTGACGCAATAATTTCAAATCATACGTTTGCTATTTTAATGGCATATTGGGGTAGGTATTTTATTCAATATTACTTGATAAATTAATCTTAATTGGAAAATAACTACGTATTACTTCTTATAAGTAATAATAAATAACAATATTGCCTCTGTTCAAATACTGCAGCTGTCTCTGCTGCAACGACCATGCATTGTGAGAATTTCCGATATTATTTTACTTATAATATTCCACGCAAATTGTTAATGCGCCTGGACGTCATTTTGACGTAGTTGCGTTAAAAAATCAGTACCATTAACAAATAAACACTGGTTTACGAATAGACTAATCAAGATCACACATCATTTTTGTTATGTTTTTGTTGGTTTCGATTGTTATCGTTAAGTTTTGTTGTTACTTGTCATGGTTGACTAAAAGAGTAACTGCTATTATGATTTTCACAATAGGTGAACACAATTTCACCAATTATAAACATATACATATGATGTCATCTAGGAGTAATGTATAGTCCTTATCATAGTATATAAAAAACATACTACAACTTTGTGTGAAAGTAAAGAAATAAATTATATTATATTATTATTATGTCTCTCATTTCATTATTACTTTTGGTTATGTTTAAAAAAGCCCTTTCTTTTTGTTATCGCGTTATAAAAAATTAAACCTTTGTTTCATATTGTTTTAATTTTCTATAAACCTCAATATTTACATATAAATTGATTATTTTCCAAAAATTCATTCAATAAATTAATAAACTAAAAGTTATTAAATTATTATAATAATATTCTGGAATTATTCGTAAATATTTATATTATTTGTCTCTTGCCTTTTGTGCTATCTTTACTTTATATTTTCATATGACGTCACGCGGGTGTCATTTATACAAGGTTCCAGCGTATTAGCAATTTACATATACGAAACTTACAAATACATAATTAGTCTTGATCAAATGGGTTCATACTTATTTTAAGTTTATGAATGCTGTAGTTAATATTGATTATAAAAAAAGAGAAAGAATATATTTCTCATTTTTAGGGTTACGTATTAAACAAATGTCTGCGCAAAAATTAAATAAATAAAATTTGAAAAAAAAAATTTAGGGTATCTCTCCTACATATAAATTAGGGATGATCTTTTTCGTCTTCCCCATAGTGTGGGGAATTGTTGAGAAACAAAATTCGAGACATTGGAACTGCAATCAGAAATAATTAAAAAAAAACTTCAGTTCAAAATATATTATAGAAAAAAATAAAAGAATCGGATTTGCTCACCGAAAAAATTGTAGGTATAATGTGGTGTAATGTAACTAAAAATTTAAGGCTTTCGGATTTTTCTTTTTACGTCCTATAAAACATTGCTTCATACCAAATTCCAAGATTCTAGGTCGACTGGAAACTCTTTAGATTTTGATTCCCCTGCGAATAGTTGTGAGTTTGAAAATATGCTGCTAAAATTGCTATTTATTTTGATTGCGTTGATATAGTAGTTTGATTTTGTTAAAGGTTTATTACCTTAATAAATTAAATTATATATTATAGTATTTGATATGAATTTCAATTTGATATCTGTTCGTGTTCATGAGGAAAGTGGTAGTAACTTTAAAACATAGCGGTAGATTGCATTGCAATAGGACCTGCGTAGGGATAGCTATAATCGGGATGAAATTAACAAGAAAAAGGGGCACGGGACAGCATCATTGAAATCGGGAGAGTCCCAGAAAATTCAGGACGGGTGGCAAATCTGCGTTTAGTCTATTACGCTACCGCCAGGTGTTCCAGTACTTGCAGAGCGAGGCCTTACTCTTTAGCATTGATTTTAGCCATAGTATACGCCATAGGTTATGACGATATTTCGTATCATGTTACTATTACTTTGACATGTCGTTTGGTAGATAAATTTGAGATAAATGACTAAGTTGGTAACACTGCTATCAAATTCATAATCATAATTCTTTATCTTTAATTCATCATCACTAAAGTACATGACAAAGTAGTAAAATGAAACGAAATATAGGCATAAAATCCTTAGGATGTCGTCCTTATGGCCAGGCTAGTCTTAAGCACAACAGGAGCCCGGGTGCAAGTATTGCTCTGGCGACCCCCAGCCCATTATTTACACATATTTATATTAGACCATCATCGGCGCGGCCCCCCTTGAGATGACGGCGCTCTTGTGCATTGCACACCCTGCACTATAGGTTAACTCGCACCTGTCTATGGCATGGAATCATGGCTCGAATTAAGCGGTCGCACCCTTGAAGTCCGCATAGCGTCCTTACTTATGTATTACCTGGTTACTTCCAAATAGTGAAGTATCAACCGTTAGAAAATTATTGCCCATTTTTGTCTTCAGCTCTTGTACCAAAATGGGTTGAACTGTGACCTCCCTTCAGATATGTACCGACCTTATAATGAGTATGCGTAAAAATAAGTATCCTTACGGGCAAATCATACTGCATTACTTATTGATCTAAATTATATTTTAATGACAACATCAAAAGAAATGGAAGTCATCATTCGGCACTTAAATGACCACAATCATTAAATAATAAGATTTATGTATACCTGTTAAAATTGCGTTTCATACGTTATGCAACTTTAGTAACACAAATCGTATTTTATTACTCTGTTACAATCTCGATTGGTTGATGAACATCGTATGTTATGATCAGATTATTATGATAAATGCAAATTAGCTGATCAATAATGATAAATATCATTGATTTGTTTACATAGGTACAAGACAATCGGAATTTGTTATCATACAGTTAAAGTCTGTTATTTTATACTTATTTTACATGAACAATTTGAATATCCGTCGGTTACAGGATTGGTGACCAAAATTGTATTATCTAGAGCATATCCGTGCTTCGAAAGGCACGTTAAGGTCTAGACTGCATGTTGCAGTCGTTAACACCAGCACTGAGCTCGCATGGTGGGTCAAGACCCATTCTTTCTATTCTATTTCATTAGATCTCATGTGATAGTGGGGCGGTAATAATTGGTGATTTGACTTGATTTCTAAATTCTTCTGCCTTTAATGAAAAATGATCTTGTTCTTAATGAAAAATGTTTAAAGAATTCACTTTGTCCCCCATCTCCGTTGTCCGTGCCAGGGACAAAGTGGTTATTTTTAAGCATTTTCCATTAAGAACATTTTTCAGTATAGTATTATGAATGCAAAATTAATCAAATATAATAATGATCTTGTTCTGTTGGTTAGTCTGTTGTTTAACTTCTCCCGTTGTTTAACCTTTTAGTCTACATTTAGAGTTACGATGCGATTTAATTAGGTATTATATAAAAGGAATGTGAAAGTAACTTTGAATATTCCGAGCCCTACTATTGGAGTAACTCAACTGATCAATGTTTGCATAATTGGATTCATCTACAGATTTAGAACGTAAATTAGTGTTTTGTTTTATCGTTAGGCAAGACTTACAACACCATATGGCGTTTTTTTTTTTACTTTTTAATTGCAACCATTCTACCAAAGATGGGCTTAATGATCCACAACTTGACCTTAAATTTTTGCAGTGTCCTACTTGTACTTAAGCGGTTACTATAAGATGTTACGCCTCTTAAGCGGTTTTTTAATTATTTCGAAATAAAAAATGTCTATGGTTTAGGTTCAAAACAATAAGTAGGTATTAATAGTTATTAATATTTATATGAAATGAGGCCGTTTTCTTTTTGTTCAAATTCAAGGTGAATGCAGTAATTAATATAGAACGAATATTGTCGAAGGTTGTTGCACAATATCTCATTATAACTATTATAGTGCCTCAACTTATAGTTAAATAGGAACTTATCCAAATATAAAATTAATATGTCGTATGTTAATAGTGCTTTCGGTCAGTTGCACAAACGTCCAGTACGGTTAAATGGCGCCTTTAAGCTCTAATGAATATCAAATTTGTATCGGTAATGTCGCCATAAATTAATGGCAATTTTAATTTATTTATTTAGTACACCAACGATTGTTTATTTAAATTTGCTAAATATACACTCATTTCAGGTGTACATCACATGCAAAAACTGAAATAAACATTTACTTAGTATACGGATCACACACATCTCACTCCATGAAAAACAACTAGGAAACAGTTACATATAAATAACGATTGAAAAACAAGGAAAACAATATACTTAATACACTGAGACGTTGAGAGTTGAACAATCATTTAGACACTAATCGCTCAAATTCGGCTTTAAACTGAATTAGAGACATCACATTTACATCAAGGGAATTACTTTATTTGTTAAATAATCTACCAATTCTCGTTACTGGTGAAGAACCGTTCGGCGAAACGGACGCATAATTGGTTTCATTGGCTTGCGTGGTATATGGTAATAATGTAGGGCAATGCAGTTGGTATCTTATAATTTTATAATAGAACGTTATATCTAACATGTCTTTGCGTTTGTCTAAGTTGTGTAGTTTATAAAGGTCTAACAGCTGCTCGTATAGTACTGACTTTTTATCTCTATTATAGGGGAATGACAAATATCTTGTCAGTCTTTTCTGTATGCACTCAATACGTAATATGTGCATGGCATAATGGACCTTTGTGCAACTGGCTGAAACATAAACGATACCTACTTGTCGACATACATAACACTGTTAAAATATTTTTTTTTACTTGTTTCAGTTATACCGGTAGTTGCATCAATTACAGTATCATCGAATGGAAATAGTCCGAACATTAAAATGATTGGCGGCATGATGGTTGACGTTCAAAAAGGATTTACACCCATTATGATGTCAAAAACACCAGAAGCCACGACAAAAGTTAACTTAAGAAAAACAAAATTAAATAGTAATTTCACGAAATTATCTATTAATGAGAGATATCGAAGATTAATACCTTACATGACTTTTTACTATGCTAATGACTTGGTATCGTCAACCACTGAAAGTGCTAAAGATGTTGAAGTAGAAAAGGCTGAAATTGTTGAAGCAAAAACTATACAACACCAATCTGAATTTCGCCAGCCCAAGAAGATCTATTATAATTCTAACAGAAATATACCCCTTTATCAGGGTAATAGATTAACGCAATATAATATCGCCTCCGCGAATCCAACGAAATATTTTCATAAAGGAATTAGTGCGACGCCCCAAACTATTAAGAATTCAAACTTCAATCCCCTGTTATCAGATCACCGGGGCTTGTCAAATAATGACTTTGAATATGAAAGGATAGTCCCAAAACCAATATTCAAGGCTCCGAGTGCACCATTTTCGCCACCAACAAGAAGACCATATTTAAATTTTTACGAAAACGAAGACTCTGGTAATATTCGATACTACATTCCTGATAAAGACTATACTCCAAAATATAAGTTAGTACCTTATGAACAGACTCCTCCTGTCAAAGTAGCGCCACAAGTCGAAAATATTTACCATGTTACCAAACCACTCGTTGCAGTTCCTGTTCAAACGCCAAAAGAACAAGTCTACGTAAAACCGAGACCGGTACGACCTGTTTACGTTTATGACAATATTAACATACCACAATCATTAGCAGGCAGAAAGCAACCATCAATAGTTTCAGAAAGTTACTATGAGAAGCAACGTCCACATAGCCCAGTAGCACAACCAGTCATTGAAAGTGGATTCAAACCAATCCTCAGTACGCCAATCCATACCACTCAATCTTCACTTTATCAATCATCTTTATCGGATACACCAATAAATCAATTTGAATCAGAAAAACAACAGAAAGTTACTGTAATCGAAAATCCTGTAGAAAAACCCGAAGAAGGAGTTCTAAATCCAAATTATTTTCAATACCTAGCCGATCAACCTACTTACAAACCAACTTATGCTCAATCCAATACGGTTTCTTTGGCAGATCTACTTAATTCGTTACAAATAAATAAATCAATACCAAAACCGATAACTAGGGAGAATGTAGGCGCATCGATTATGACACTATTGCAAGTGTTAAACGCTCTGAAATCTTTACCACCAAGTGAAGTAGAGACTCCAATTTTGAGTACGCCTAAACCGTTTATAGAAAACAAAGCGGTGGAAGTAACAACTAAACCTGAAGTCGTAACACCAATATCAATTGTTACCGAGAATCCAGATTTTCATGATGAGGCATATCTTGCTCCTGTTAATACCCCTTCACAACATATTGATGGTACGTATATTCTCAGTGATTGTATGATATAAAATAATAAAAACAGTTTCATTTATGAAAAAAACTAGATTTAATAACATTATATTCCATTGACAAGAAAGAATATTCTTAATGAAAAATGCTTAAAAATCTACTTGCCATAGATACACTGAGATGGGACTCGATCTCATGACCTTTCGCAGTCCTGGCGACTTTTCTAACCACTGAGCTACCCAGGACCTAACAGGACTGACGAATTTTTCAAGCACTTATTACTTTTTGCTACTACAGTATATGTTGTATGGCAGTGTGAATGAAAAATTGAAAGATATAAATTAATTTAAATTTTTAAATTTAATAATACCCGGGTTTTACCTCACTAAATATAATGTTGCTCTACCAAGTATTTATTTTCTATTAGATATAGCGCTATACCATGTTGTAAGCAAAAATGAAATGTACCTAAATGCCAGGTAAAGTACCCGACACGAAAGTAACTCAAATGGGATCAGCGTGAGCTCAATGAAACTTGGCGCCCTAGGTAAATCATTGGAAAGATGCCTATTATAAAAAAAAGTCAACAAAATAGAAGATTAGTTGATACAATTTTGCTAATAACAAAAGAATCTCTCTATAGGCAGAGTAGGTCTGAAAATTTTGCACTTTCTGAATACTGCGGACATACTCATATCCGCTGACGCGAAACTGCATTTAAGGTTCAAGTTTAGATAATTTATTTGCCATACCAGGTCGTCCTCCAAATATAGACAGGCAGTTGATTAGTTTGCCTATATGGACTGACCGGCCCTGGAGGTTGAAGAGGGTTAACCACTTGACTTTAATATATTAACAACCTAAGTATTAGAGATGTTTTTGAAGTAGGGTTTTTTATATAATTAGTTTGTGTGCAGGGTTTACTTTCATGCTAAGTACTGTACAACTTTTAAAAATGGTCTTACCGGATTTGTAATATTTGTTTCTTAAATATTTTACTGCTAATTTGCTAGATTTCCCGTCGAGCATAAGTTCCAGTCAACGATTCCCACTGCCCATCACATCTGATGATGAAGGCGGTACACCAGGGCGACCAGGCGTCGATTATCCAATCCTCACAATCATCCCACAGACTGCTTTCAATTGTAAAACTCAACGTTATAAGGGATTCTTTGCCGATCCTGAAACTAGATGTCAGGTAAGAAGTAAAACACTTTATATGTAACTACCGAGAATGAGTAACTAGGCTACTATTTGACAAAATCGAAACTCCAATTTTTCCTAAGTTTAAAAACATAATTATATTCAGTTTTCCGAATTTTCTCGTCATTTAATCTGTCCTAACTTTATTCGGATAAATAGAACTTAAAATATGTATACCTATACAATTATTTACCAAGGATCTGCATTGATGGGCTACTTTTAGAATTCTCATCTGTAGATTTCATTAATCATAAACACCTATGGTAGATAGAGTCTAACATCCCAAGACTGAGCCTAATAAATATCGCAGATTTACTAAAATCTTTAACAACCTTTCTAAGTTGTAACATAACTATAAGATTTAAAAATAAGTACTATGTATTATTTGCAACTTTACAGGTTTGGCATTACTGCGATCTGAACGGTGGTCAGGCTTCGTTCCTTTGCCCCAACGGAACTATCTTCTCGCAGGCGGGGTTGACGTGCGACTGGTGGTTTAATGTGCGATGCGCTTCCACTGCGCAGCTATACGTTCTCAACGAAAGTCTCTACAAGTACATTTTGCCTCACTCGCCCAAATTCCCTGAAGATTACAGTGGCCCCTTAGTAGATAAGTAAGTATTATCATAGATTATTCAACCAATACTGTATTGTTATAGTTAAAAATAAGATATGGCATAAATTACCTAAAGTTAGTATTAAAAAGGATCGTAGTCTTCGTACTTTACCGTGAGCTCATAAACGCGATTCCAATGGCGTGTATATGTCGCAGAAAAGTGGTATGTGGATTTGTGGATTTCGCCAGAATCCTGTGTTTCGCTCAGTTTATCAAACTCAATTAACGTTTTGGCGGCTTTTAAGTCGGCTTTTTTTGGACAGTCCAAATGTCAAAATGATTCAACTAGAAAACTAGGCGTGCAATTGAAAATAAAACAGATAGCCGCCCATTTGAACGGCTGTTCTAACCAGTTAACTGAAACATAGATAGCATCATCCTGCTTAGAACACCGAGACGAATTATCACCAATCAGGCAATTTCTTTCGCTTTATTATTAAAATGATAAAGTACCTGGATGACTGAGCTTTGCTCAGTGTTTTTTTTATTTTATTTTAGAATAATTTAACACCCCCGAATCCTCCCGCATACTAAATTCGATAAAAATCATTGCAGTAATTGCCATTTCTCGTTTATATGTACTAGATTAAATATAACAATGAACTCTCCATTAAGTAGTATAACATTTGTACTACAGCTGTTTCTGTAATAATAAATGTAAATCCATTCAGTAGGGTCAAACTGTGCGTGAATTTTTATATGCAATAAAATTTTATTAAAAATAAGCATATCTTTGCACATTTCTAGATATCTAACGCTGAAGTTTAAAGAAATGGAGGAGCAATTTAAGAAAAATAAGCACAAACAGAGTGCTTCTGAAAAAATGGATTCAGACGGAACGGATAATTCGAAGGAAGACTCTAGTGAGATCGAAAGCTCAACAGAGCAGGTGCCAGAAAAAAACGCGGTCAGCGAAGCAAGTGTCATTGTTGGATCTCCTGGGACCAGCGGCAACGTAGAGAGGTTACAAGATTAGTATGTTCAGTGATAACAAATTGTAAGCAGACTTATTTTGGCATACATTCGTATTAGTTAAAGGAAATATGAAAAAAGACAACGTAATAGTGAATAAGCATTAAAACAGGGGCTCAACAAGTTTAAAATTGCATTAAAATTGTAGATACTGCAGTTAATAGAAAGAATTCTGATGGGTCCTCTCCACCATGATTTCAGCCATCATTGTGTCGTTGTCCACACGATCGACCATCCCATATTTCTTAATTGCCACCTGAACTATATGAACGCCGAAAACAAGAAGCCAAATTGTCCTTGTGGAACGTCCTTTTGGAATAATTCTATAAACTTAAATGGTTAATTATAGATCTTCTGCTTCGACATTTTAGCATCGATTACAGGCAAAACAGCACGCGTCCGCAACGTATCATAAATAAATACGAACTGAGTGATCGGTGATTGTGTGGACACGCGCATGATAATGGCTAAATTTCCTTTGATGACTGTCCCGAAAACCGACACAGGGGCAATTATACACGATAACCGCCGATCATGGGCCATTATAGGCGATCATGCCGTCTACACAATGGTGATGGCCTGCGTTCATCCATCATGGACCACAGTGTGGAGACGGTGTAAAAAATATATCTATTATTAGTATTTCACTAAAAATGATTACTAGAGAACACAGTATATTATTCAGAGAAACAGTATTAAAAAATCAGCGGTATAAAATTTTTTTGATAGATTGTTCTAAAATTTCGCTTTTCTTTTATTGCAATAGTATATATACATTATTTTCTAAGGTTAAGAAGTTTGGAACAAGATGTACACTTTTTCAAAACTACCGGATCCCTATTTTGCATGCTACTTAATAGTGTACCTAATGTTATTTACTGAATAGGTTATTTCATTAGATTTCACAAACATCCATCGTAGATCCTTTTAATGTAGCTTACCATGTTTATAGTTACCAATTGATACGAAAAGTACAAATACTTTTTGACATAATGTGGCATATAGATAGTTTATACCGTGGAAGAATGTACGAGATAATTTCTATTAGATATAAAATATGTTCTATAAACATATCGACCCTAAAATCGATGCAAATGAAATTGCGAGCAGATTCTAGTATTAGACAAATAAAGGAAAGAACCAATAAATATATTTGTACGAGTATGTTAACTTCTAATTAATTATTACGGTCTCAAACTATAATTGGTAGAAAGTAGTTAACTGCTAATGGAGGTTGCACCTGTAATGGATAAACAAAAGGTGAGTTGCCTAAAAGAACCTAAAGAGTGTGCCAATATTTTTTGTTTTAGTGAAACAGTGTCTTACAAAAATTAAATACTTATTACGTATTTATGGACCTAAAATGTTATGCCCACAGAAATAACCTTTGTACAGTTTGCGTAGTCATGTTTTGTTGTACGAAAGACTAAATGTCTAGTCTTACCAATAGTACCTGTAAAGTCTAGCGCTACTACTTGTTGTCAGAATTATAACTATAAAAATCATTGGATCGTCAACATATCTAGGAACTGACACTACTTCAAAATAAATCTTTTGAGCATTGTTTTTGTTTGTAATAAGATATAACCTAGGGTTTTCAATGTGATGTAACAATACATCTATGATATATGGGAAGTGTACAGTTTTAGGGTTATTATTTATTTTTATCAAAGTCGGTAGTGATGTAGTAAGGTTGTCCGAATAAATACAAACTTCCGCCTTATGATAGAAAATATTGGTAACTGTAGGTTTTCATTATAAAAATGAAGTGTGAAAGTGTATTTAAATATAACTAATAGTGAGCGTATGATTTTGCTGTTTACTTTGTAAGGAATTAAACTTGCCATATGTTTAATTCAATATTGTTTTGAAAGATAAGCTGTGTGCATACAGTGCGTATATTAGGTTATCACAAAATGTAATTTTATACGAATTTGAACTATACTTTTAAGTACGACAGTTTTGTATAATCTGACGTGTTGTAGACTGTATGTACAATGATAAATTAATTTATGATAGATTTAAATATGTAACAATACTCATAGTGATATTCGTGCAATGTGTAAATAGTTAAGTATCTTATCTCTGCCATTAGATTTTCGACGTAAAAATAACTAAGGATTAAGGAATGTGCAATAAACTATTCCAGATAATGTGTTGCATTGTTTTATTTAGCGATTATTACGTGGCCATAAAAGAAACACTTATATCCTTATATCCATTGATTATTCTTATGCAAGTGAATTATTTACAGTATTATAATTTCTGAAATTGATGTTTTGAAATAGGTATAATGTGAGTGAAACTACTTATTGAAAAGAAACAATAAGACCATTACAATATTAATATAAATAAATAAATAAGTGGATAAAAATATCCAAATATATTCTACGAGTAATTGTAAACAGTTAACAGTCCAAATATCTCTTGTCGACCACATTCTCAGATTGGGACTCATAACATCAATAATTTAACTACACAAATATCATCAATTCGTTTACATCAATAATACTCATACTTATTCATAATATACATGACATGACTGAATGTTTAATGAACTTGCAAGATTATTATTAGCTATTTGAATGAATACGTAACTTCCAAATTATTATACAAACTTGAACCATTAAGCTAAAATGGTACCTAAATTACTTGGTACAATGCAATTTTGCAGATAATACTTATACAAAAATATAATTTTGGGATGAACAAATTCTTAGACATAGATAAAATTTATTCCAGACGTAGGTACGTACGTGTTGAAAACTTTTGAACACGCCATTTTTTCCACGATTACACCTATCTAAGTGTTATATTTACAGCTTATTTACAGTCAGACACGTCTGCATTATTATACGTCGATCACAAGCTGTTGCCATTTCAGTCTTAACATCATATCCCTTTATTTAGGTAGTGTACAAAATATATTAACACCGTTCATACATACCATTACTTATCACGAGTTACAAGCGGACATTTTGAGTAAGTATATAATATTCGTTTTACAGATATTACGTTGTCAATTTCCTGATGCTATAATTCAACACAATATAATTTATCAAGTACATGATACGGATCGATTTATAAGTAGATAGATAGATGTTCACCGGGCACATTGAACGATACATTTATACACAATTTATCGACAAGTGAAATGCAATTTGAAAAAAAAAAACACAACTAATCATAAAGTAGAAGCTTTAAGCTTATCACTATCAACGGGCAATTTCCCGAAGAGTGGACTAAGAGTCCTTTAAAATTACCCTGTTAGTTATAACGGTAACGTTTAATCACGATACTTACCAACGAATAAACAAAACAAAGGCACAAAAACGTGCTAATAAAAACTTTTATAATACGCTATCCAAATGTAAATGCAAAGATGCACAAGTATATGTAATACAGAGCCGAGTGGTGCGAGTCGCGAGTAGGGGTCGGGCGGCGTCGAGTCGGCTTAGTGTTTGAGCAGAAGGGCGGCGTGTTTGAGGCGTAGGTGTGAGCGCAGCGTGTCGATGCGGCTATAGGTGGCCGGGCAGTAGGGGCACAGCGACCGCTGAGCGGTGTGAGAATGGAAGTGGTGCCAGCGGTTGGACACTTCCTTGCCGCAAGACTTGCAGCGCCACAGCGCCGCGCTCTCCGCCGCCGCCACGAACATGCTGTGGTACGAGTACTGGGCGCCAACACTCACCGGCACACCCGCCCTGCGCTCTGTAACCAACCGGACACTACCAATCCGCTCGCGTACGCCGCTCGACTAGTAATGCGACTCGAGACTTGTTTAAACTCGAGTCACTCGAGTGAATTTTCAAACTCGAACTCCGATGAAAAAATATATTGCCCGAGTGTCTATGAACTAGAGTTACCGAGTCGGTTCTGTTATAACCAGGTGTCACCTCACTACTCTATGTTATTTACCTAAACCACTTATTTTTTTTACTCTGTTGATTACTTAAATAAATCATATGAAAAAACTCTAATAATGTGTATTTTATTTGATATTACTTCATAAATCATAATGGTAGTATTTTAATATAGGTCAAATATCTTTATATTTAAAATAGTAAAAAGAAATCGCAAATTTGTCACCCGAGTGAGGTAGTAGAATAACTCGAGTGACTCGATTCACAAAATGCTATTCGAGTCGCATCACTACGCTAGACACGTTCCGAGTATCGCTCAGACGTAAACGACACGGGCTTCGAACCCGATATGATTCGAATCACTATCAAACACTGTTCTACGATGACGTGCACGATTTAAGTCGAGCCGTGCATCGGGACTAGTATGACATTGCGAGGTGCGGGGCATGTGACGCACACAACTGAAACTACACAGATTTGTAACATACCACAATTTAATGTAAAAATTAGTAATAAATACAACAGATAAATGCAGGAGTTTGCAACATGTTAAAATTGCATTACATAACATCAAAAAATGTGAAAAAAAATTGCATTAACTGCTTGCATAAAACAAAATTATTTAAATTAAACTTTAAACGGAGGCATCAAACCAAGATAAACAAATATTCATAAAATTTCATGTATAATATAACAAGACTAAAAGTCGGCTGTTAGGTATACGATTTGACACCCCCTTTCCTATTAGTATTACACTATTGTGATATACGACACTATAACAAATTTGCTAATGTTATAAAATGAAACAAAATTAACATAACTAGACCATTGCTATCCTGAATATAATCATATAGCTAATCCTGCACTCCATTGATTCGAATCGATAAGATCACATCTCTTGTGATATCATTGTAAATTTTAATATACAATAAATTGGAATATTCATTAGATTGGCCAAATAAGTGACTAGGTCCACAAGACCTCAATTTCATAAGACTAAATTTAGTAATTCGTTAACCTTATGTATAAATTCCATATGGCATAAAGTTAGCTTTCATTAAGTCCAATTACGTGGTCACCATACAATTATTAAGTTGCATACTTTCTGAAAGCCGAAAAGAGATCAAAGGAAGATATTTTCTGAGCCAAACGATGTGATACTCCAAAATATTCTGGCCAGACACTATCAAGTATCCTAACCTAAAATATCTAAAATAATATTCTATGTTTACTAAACAATCGATTTGCTATAGCAAATTTCATATTCAAAATTGGTCTTGAGTGATAGTTATATAAAAATGCATTCACGATTATTTATGATGAAGCGTTTGACATTGGCAGATGAGCGAACTGATCCTACTGACACTGGACAGGGCAATGGAACCCTCACTGGATAGCTATGATCTATTCCAACAATAGACTTCAACTTGCGCGATAATAAATTATTAAATAGTACATAACTATTACGATTGGCAGAGGTAAACAAGCTAATCTTAATATTACCAGCTATTATAACCTGTACATCTTCGTAACCCAAACTGTTTCACTAGTTAGAAAATAGAAATTAGGAGTTCACTTATGTGTAAATACAAATAGGAGTTACTCTCTTCGAAGACATTATAATATACTTTTTTTTTAAATATCCTTTAGTTTGGTTACGTAATTAAATAACTAGTAATATTGCACTGAGTATGAAATGCTATCAAATAATAAGTGCCCACGTTACAATGAACAATATAAAAAATCTTTGATACTCTTAAAATAAATATAAAATCTTTGTGGAATTAACATTAGGTGATTTAAAAATGTTTTAAAATTTACAGAGACGCTGAGCTTACCGCTTACATTATCAAGTGGGCCCCTATATTTAATAGACAATTGTAAAATCTATCTATGAGTTATATGACTATTTGAAAAAATTGCACATGTGAAATTGCATGTTCACAGCAACTAAACAGCATTAACGCCTTTATGGGACGATCGCGGATTTATTATTTGGATGCGCTTGTTTCGAACACCATTCACGAACGTTTTATATTTGGTAGACAATGATTGGATTCCTTTTAATATATTCTTATCGTCCTATAATTTTTATATTATTAACTTTATTAGTAAATTTGAATATCCCGAAAGAAAATAATATGATAAAATCTCGAGTGATACTGTAATCCAGTGGCGGATTAAGGATTGGCGGTGCCCTAGGTATCGAACGGCCCCAGATGCGCCCTTCCCTAATAGGGATGGATGCTAGCGAGGTATTATAAATTATAACTACCAATACAGTCGTCGAGTGAAGAAAGTAAACATAGCCGAAAATATACAATCTTTATCAATTCACATTTTTTTATAATAAATTGCTTAAAGTATAATCCGCCACTGTTGTAATCTCTAGGCGTTAAACGAGCCACGCGTTATGTTACCCGTTGACCTGACAGATGCGACCTCAACTGGATGCTAGATGCCTTACATTAATAATGCAACATAACTAATCATTAAAAACATTAATAATATTATAATAGGAGTCGAATCGTAGCGTGTTAACACTCTTGGTTCTAGCACCATTCCATTTTATCACATTTCAGTTACCGTACCACTCTAAAGTGTTTTAGCTAAAAATGTAACAATCTTAAATCTTAATTGAAAAATACATACGTAAACGCTAGGTTAGTCCCAATCGTAGAATGCCAATATTAGTTACTAAATGCGCAACCTCGAAACGTTCCATCCTATCTTATAGTAATTGAAAGAGGTCTTTGACCACAAAGCACCGATCACACGACGAGAGCGCGTGCGCTCTGATACAAATAAACACCTACCAACGATAAAATAATAAAACATGTTAACAGCTCAATGTCGATTACTACTACGTCCAACTGAATGATACTACAATTATGATGAATCAATAAAAACAAACAACACTAATAAAATCAAAATATTGTAAGTATATAAATATATTAAATCAGACAATATAATATATCTAAGAATAAAAAAACAATCTCCGTAAATAGATCCACTATTCTAGTATAAAAATCTTTTCGTATGTTTCCTTAGGCGCTACCCTTTTATTACATCACAAATCCTTAATAAAATTATCCATCGTGCAAAGGCCTCATGGAGTTACAAATGCATCTACTCTGAGATTCAGTCAATATTTATATGTCGTTGACCAACGACAGATCACAATCTCTAGCCAGTCCTCAAATTCTTTCCTGATGTATTTCTGCTTCACCCGTACGATGTACATAATAACATAAATACAATTAGCTACAGGAAACTTATAATTTCCTATCTAATGAATAAATATAACAAGAAAATGTGGGCCCGTATCGGAGCCACGGTTATAACCAGCATCACTTCGCGGTCGCACCGCTACTCAATATAATGTATATCATTTAAATAGCTTAAGATTCCTATCGATATAATATAAAAAATAATATGGTAATAAAATTAACATCATATTATTGCTTTTGCCCGTTCCCGTATAGCGATTGGTATAGAAAAAATTTGCTTACCTACTTTATAAACGCTTTCGAGTCACATGAAACATAGACATCGATTATTTCCCGACTCGGAATCTCATACGACCGGTCACACTGGGGGCAAGTCAACAACGCACAACCGAGACAATACTAAACGAGTCGCCCGCCGAGGCGAGCTACTTAAAGATAGGCCCGTTAAGTAATAGCACTTCAGCTTAATCCTAAATAGGAAGCGGTTTCGACGCGAGACGGTCCGTTTAAAATTTCGACACATCAACAACGAGAGTCTGAACTGGCTCGGGCCCGCGCGCCGCTCACAGAGCGTCGAGGCCGAGCCAGTACATGGACAATCAATCGAAGCCCGTGTCTAGATGGTTGGCGAAGAGCGGCGCGTGAGGCGGCGCCGGCGCCGGCGGCGGTGGCGGCTCGAACTTGCGCGTGTCGGGGTTGTACGCGGGATGTTTGAACTTGCAGTGGGTGCGCAGATTGTCGGAGCGCGTGTACGTAGCACGGCAGAGGGGACACTCGAACCGTCCGGGGAAATGCACGTGATAGTGGTTCCGGATGTGCGTCACCACCTTGCCGCACAGCTTGCAGCGGTGGAGATTGAGCGCGCCCGCCACCCGCTCGAACGTCAGCCGCATGTGCCAGCCCTTCGAGCCTGCAACCAGCCAGCGGTCACTCCCACACCCTACACCATCCACATCCAATGCCGCAGTGCCAACTACGCCCCGCTGACTAATCACTGCATACAACTATCGACCGCTATATTATCGACTTTAAACGTACCGCGAGTGGCAATCTTTTATATATATTCCAGTGTTGATGCAGTAATTTCTTCAGGAGAGCTTACATAGTATCTAAAGCACTGCGACGTTTTATTTTCTAAAAGCTCACTTCGTTACTCCTCTGTTGGTTCTGCAGCATTTGTTATGAAGTGCGAGATAGAAAGATAAATATTTTTAACTAAAATATGTAGGTAAGGTACAACTATTTTATTAAATTATTTAGCAAACAAGGCTAGACTCAGACAATATTCAGTTTAGCACTATTCAAAGCGTTTATTTATATCATTGACGCTGAACTATTATGCCTCTCCTAGCACTATTAGATAAAGCATTATAAATTAATATTAAAAATTTTAAGATAGTAAACACAAATTTGTAATTATTATTGAAAATAAAAGTATTTGTGGTAGATCCATGCAGAAATGAATCGATGATAATTTGAAGAAATGGTGTTGTTATTATTCAGTGTTATATTCGCATGACGATCGTTAAATACTGTCACCAAGCCTGTATAGAGAAGGCGATTTGTAAAGACAAGATCTGCTATACATATAGAGAAAGCATGGATAGAGGATGAAAATGAAAAGAAAGTGGTATAAATAAAGGAATATATTTGCAACAAACACACAATAACGATAAATTTACAATAAAAATAATCGTAATGTTGAAGAAGAAGTAAATGTGAAATAAATTAATGTCCCTTAATTACAAAAGCAAAATCAGTCTTGACGCTAGTTGGCAACTAGTATCGTTTATATATCTACAAGGAACAACAAGAGATCATAGATAAGGCTTTTTAACAACATGTTAGTCTTCTTACAAACATACATGTTTATGGTCGACTAATCAGCGTCCGAATACGAAAAAAAAAACTTACTTACTGATATTGGTTTAAGAAACAATGAAATCAGTTAAGTTTTAAAATTTAGATCAAGAAATAAGGGTTTAGTGAGATGGATTTTTCCCGCTTTGTTATTCTATAACAATATAGCGTCGAATGCAGAGCTGTCAAAAAATTAGGGGTTTAATTAAATAAAAGTCATAGCAGACTTAAACGGCAAGGCCTCGACTCAGCGATTAACTTGTCATTAAAAATTTTACCATTAAATCGTATGTGATATACTCATAACGTCTATATAGATCAAGTTGTTACATAGTGGCCTGTGTGCAAGCGAGCTAATAGCCTGTCTATGAGTTTGCAACTCGCGAATGACGTACGCTGGCAACTAACGGTAATCAAAATACCAGACAATGCTATGCTGGTGTTGAGCCGTTACCGCGTCGATTAAATGTGCTATGACCTTAAATCCTTTATTACAGCAAGCTTCAACTAATATGGCACATGAATCTTCGTTTGCGGACTAGATCTACCATTTCGACGATGACCGAACGTACGATTAATATTTATAATGAATCTTGCTCGAGTAATCATAAGGTGTAAAATACAGCGTATTAGGTGTCCTTCTCACTCACAATCGGTGGGGGTCAGACGCGTAGATATAGGTGGATCGCTCGGTCGCGTGATACTGGAATCATTTGATTGGTAGACATTTACTGCGCTTGGAAATACAGCTCTTTGCGTTGTTAATCAATGAGCCACATCAGTTGTATCTACTGTACCTTTCGAAGTAGGTTTTATTTGATGAAACCTCTAAAAGGGCGACAGCATGGTGTTCGACGTTGTTTTCGATGCTGTATTTTTAAAGAATATTGTATGTTTTGATATTATAAATTATTGAACAGTGCACAATTTTGTCCTTACTGTTAAAAATGTAATATAAACATTAGAATATTTTAATCTTTAGTAAACAAACTAGGTATAACGTTAAAAATCGGTCGTTAATCTCCGCGTATAAGTGGGTATGTATTTATAGATACTTCTTTCTTTTTTATCTACGGTGTTAGTAAGTTAAAAGAAGACGAAACCATTAACGATAAATAGACAGTAAAACATTCGTGCACTGACAATTTTTTTTTCCTGTATATATAAACCATAGTTTCTTAAAACTCGGGTCGTGGCTGGCATTGGAATGGACGCTGTGAGTTAACCACGGATTTCTAATTGATAATAGATAAATAAATTGGTCGAAAACAATTTTAGGTTTTGTGTCGCCAGCCAAAATGGATACGAACCTCTGATTTCGACGTATAAATCTTTAAAATTAATTTAAACAAAACATGTACAGCGAATGGATTATGGATACATATTCTTAATGAAAATAATAATCATAATCAAATACGGACACCAATTCTCGAGTCAAAATAAAGTCTGATAAGAAACCGTGACGTCTCATCTCAATGAGTGTATTTGTAGGAAAGAATAATGAAATTAATAAAATTTAAATATATAAGAACAGGACAATTATTTTTAACTGGGTAATAAATCTGGAGTATTATTTGCTGATACGAATTCTAACGAAAGTTATCAATAAAGCCTACTTATTGTTATGAAACTGAGACATTTTTACTTCATGAAGACGTGTGCTTTAAAGACGCTAAATACGACGCTGATCATTCGATTTAATTTAGTTACTTAGCTAACACTAAATACCATTTTGTCGAAGACAGTACATTATAATTATTTTATTGTATCATTGGATAGTGCCTACCTTACTTAATATAAAAAAAAATACATACATAGTTAACATATTTAGTTAAATTTGTGTCAGTATGAAAGCGAATATCTAACAAACGGCAACTAATCAAATAATACTGATAGTTTTTGAAACGCTAATTGAAAAAAAAATTAAATATTCGCTTTAATACCTAATGATTTGAGTATTTTAATGACTACTTGGTTATTAATAGACAATAATCACACCACACCTTAAATTCTAGTTACAAAATGACTTGTTAGAACCAATGAATAAGCGCACTTCGTTAGATTGCAGTATAGTGGAATCATATTAGTAGTCAATATGTTACAAGTTGGTCAGCGTTAATTGTTAACAAGCTTAACTACATTACATACAGTTCGAGCTACTGACTTCTTTTGATTTCATAAAATCATCAACGCGATTCTCAATGCAATCTGGAGTTTACTAGAGTAATACAAACAACTTTGTCTTTTTAAGCCAATGGGAAAACCTATTTAACTATAAATTTAATTAACATTGAGTTTGTATATTTGATAAATTGTTAGATTTCAAAACTGTACAATGTTTCATACGCAAATGTCTCTTTAGATTGTCGGCGCGAGTCAAAATTATAGGACACAATGGACATTTGTGTTGCTCTGGATTATGTGATTTCATATGTTTCTTTATATTATTAACTAGTTTACCGCACACGTGACATGATTCGGGAACAGTATATGGTTTTTGGTTAAGAGCCATTTTAAACGATTTCACTATGTTATCAATATTCAATACTTTATTTTTCAATGTGCCCTGGGGTGCGTTATTTTCGTCAACGCCGTAATCACCTGAAAGACATTTCAACTTCGTAATTGATGCCTTAATAGTGGTCTGGCATGCTCAATTGTTTTAATGATAACAGTAATGACTCAAATGGATGCAGAATAAATACAACAAACCTTAAGTCTATTTCATAAGACCTAAACTGTAAACCCACACCTTACTATACATGCTATTTTCAATTCATGATATCGACAAAACCACACACTATAATCCGACGGACTTTCTTATAACATTTTTAGATTTAACATAACGTTACTATACACGCCGCTCTGGGGGCGCCAAATCATCGTCCGAATTTTTACACCAATTTCTTCACAAACTATTGAAATAAAACTAAAAAAAATTTAAAAGCGTTGTGGAGCATGGACAGTGTGAATTAGATACAAATCTAAAAAGCATTATGTATACCATGCTGCGGGGTGCTATAAAAGCAGTAGAGTGTAATGAATGTGAAGAATGTTTAGTAACAGAACTTCCTATTTTTTGTTACGGAATAATTTCCTATAAATTAAATAGCACAATCCCACATATTTGGTTATTATTAAACATTCTTCTTTAGGTTATTATTAAAACGGAATCATAATTAAAAAAAGAAAACAGGTACCAATGAATGTTTATCTTTAAAAATTCTTCAGTGTCCTCTAATGTTGTTATTTTATAAGATGTGTTTACATTTATGTCCTATTTTCTTTTTAATTATGCAGTTAGATTTTTTTATTTGCAAACTGTAAGATAAACCTAAGAAATACCACAAGACACAAAATCGTATGGACAACTATGAACTTGCACTTAAAATTAATTTGAAACTTTTTAATGCTTTTTATAATATTTGCATAAAACTACTCGTATTTATGATATTTGCATAAAAATGGTGTTAAATCAAGTTCATAGTTAGCTGTGCCAAAGCAGTGACTTACCATCGATGGTGTCAGTCTGGTCGGGGTGTGGCTGTAACATTGGTTCACTTTCGTTGCACTCGTTGCTGAGGCTACTCTGTGTCAACATTGATGCCATGTCGGGTACACCCATGCTCTGGAAGTTCAACAAAATATATTAGGCATTACGATTAAGATCAGAATACCTTAAATACATAATAATAACTGATATGCCTAATTTTAAAACTTAACAATCAATTTTGAACGTTATTTACAACGACGTAAGATTTTTTATTTGAGAATTTTGACTACACATTCAATAGCATGTCCTATTTGGACACTTAACGATGTCAGATTTGATCTCATTTTTATTTTTTATTTATTTTTAGTTTTTTGTTATTGGTAACTACGAACTCGAAAGCGTAGTAGCAGCTTTTCTTAGTGTTATTACCTATTATGAGTATGTTTATATTTAAGAACTCTACAGATTAGTGTCCAACACTTCCACAAGCTATTCAGAAATTAAATTGCAGACTTTTTGTTCGAGATGATATCTAGGGTCTAATGATGGTACTGAAAGGTTCTTTAGTACTTTGTAAATAAATAATGCAACCCATCAAGTTTGGGCTCGTGCTGTTGTCTATACAAGATCACTGGTATTAGATAATATCGAAGTGAGGTTGTAATGGGTCAAGGCCCTTAAGTGTTCTAAATTACAAGTCGTTAATTATTTTATATTAATGAATGAATAATTTATTCCGGTAAAAACCTGAGACATGAAATACAATTTTAGCTTACAAATTTAGGATACTGATTCACCTTATGTCAGACTAGTAACCTAACGCTGGTTTTCAATTGGCAACCTTAAGCAATGAGTGTCTTTATATGTCGTTAATTATTTTTTATTAATGAATAAATGATTTATTTCGGTACAAACCTGAGACATGAAATACAATTTTAGCTTACAAATTTAGGATACTGATTCACCTTATGTCAGACTAGTAACCTAACGCTGGTTTTCAATTGGCAACCTTAAGCAATGAGTGTCTTTATATGTCGTTAATTATTTTTTATTAATGAATAAATGATTTATTTCGGTACAAACCTGAGACATGAAATACAATTTTAGCTTACAATTTTAGGATACTGATTCACCTTATGTCAGACTAGTAACCTAACGCTGGTTTTCAATTGGCAACCTTAAGCGATGAGTGTCTTTACTTGTCGTTAATTATTTTTAATTAATGAATGAATGATTTATTCCGGTACAAAACTAGAAATACAATTTTAGCATACATTTTATACACGTATACCAATAATAAAATAAAGTACATATACATTGGATCTCACGACTACACCCAAAATAGTATACCAATTCACCTTATGTCAGACTAGTAGCCTAATTGTGGTTTTCAATTGACTTATTTTTCCCGTGTTCATAAGTATGCATTTGAATAGCGTTATTCGACTGACCGCTAGATGTGTTTGGTCGAAGTGCGGCGGCGGGTGTTGCGTCGCGTGTGGCGGATGCGCCAGCGGCGGCGGCGGCGGGTACGAGTCCGGCTCCTGCTTCACGTGCGGCGTGTGCGCGGGCGAGCGCGGCGTCAGCCGCTGCGGCGTGTGCGCGGGCGGCGGCGTCGACGGCTCCGACCCGGACCCCGTCGAACCGCCCTTCACTGACTTCAGGTGGCCCTGTGTCTGGTGCAAATGAACAACTCACGTGATCTATTGTACGCGTGGCTGAAATGTACCCGTAATCATAATGGAATATTTGTATCTAGAACATTAACGAGAGCGGTGTTAGGCACTGTGGCGTCAACGGCTCAGAACCGTTTCATTTTATTAATCATTACATATTTTTACCTTCAGATGGCTTTTAAAACAAGGATGGTATGAAGCTTTTAGCGATAAGACCATTTTTCCTCACTCTAGAATTAAGAAACTTTCTTTTTCATTGTGTCTGAGTAATAAATAGTTCTATCTATCTACATATTTGAATTGCAAAGTTACCATCAGTAAATAATACATGGCTGCGTTAAGGTTTCCATGATGGTTATAGCCATGCATGCATAACCTACAAGCAAAACCTAGCGTGTATGTGATAAAAACAGTTTCCAGTGTATGTATATGCAACCAAGCAAATATCAAAATTGATATTTTATGCCACTCGGTTACGTTTGCGCGCGGGCATAACCGATCGTATGTGGCGTTCGCCGAACTTGCCTGCACAGTTCTGTTTTCAACTGTCAATAATCAATGGTAACAGTTTCAAATAAAGTTTTCTATGTATTTGTTTTCTTTTGGTATAAATCTTAATTAATTTATCAAATTTGCATAAGAAATCTGCTTTCTTTTCAATAACCCATGTTCACACCATTCAGTGCGATCTCATCTTCTTTTTCTGTTCTGCAAAACAAGTGTTAAGCCAAGTACAGACATCACACCGTCGTCGTTAATTGTAGTAAGGTAAACCGTACACGTCTTACACATAATGTAAGTAAATCAACTGAGAGTATATGGCAAAACTGTGCCTACTAACACAAACGTGTATGTGTCATATGAAACTTGGTTATGCCAGACGGTTATACATGCACGGCTAGAAACATCATGCAAACCCTAACGTGTATGGCCACCATAACTTTGAACGTAGTCATAACATAAGATAATCTTATGAATGTTTACCTCATAATGTCTATATGGTAAATCTATGTCATCTCTGGGTACAGTTGAGTTTTTTCTGCGTCTCTTTTCTGGGGGCAAGGAGTGGGGCGGGTGCTGCGATAGCGCAGGCGTGGCAGGGAGGGGCGTGAGAGGCGCGGGGGGCGCACAGTGTGCTGCGGGCGGAGTTGCGAATGACTCCGCACGCGATGATAGATTTTCCGCACTCACTGATGGAGTCGAGCGTTCTTCAACCTGTGAATAATAACAAGATGTTTCTATAACAAACTATATAAAGACAGTATAAGTAACAAAAAATTCTACAGCAAAGATGTCATCAATCTAGGATTAATTTTTAATGAATTATGGTTTCCACAAATTAAATTCATTTCACATTCAACCTTTTGAGTAGTCTGAAAGGGATATATAGGGATAGAAGATAAAAATTGCATATGTTATTACAACAATATAATCTTACCTTAGGATTCAATGTGTTATTTTCTGTCAAACCTCTTACTTGTAAGCTTTCAGCAGTTTTTAGGAACATCGGTAGCATATTTTGGCCAACATTCACCTCACCCTTCAAAATAGAAAAAAAACTATTTAATAGGCTAACACAACATAACAACTAGGTTTTTATGTTATTTAGACATTTTATTTATTTAATGTAAATAAAAATGCTTAAAAAATCCTCCACTTTGTCCCCGGTACTGTGAGATGAAGCTCAAACCGACGACCCTTTCGCAATCCGGGCGACTGCTCTAATCCAGAGCTACCCAGGACCTAACAGGACTTTTGAATTTTTCAAGCACTTGTTACTTTTTCGCTACTAAAGAGAGTATTTTTAATGTTCAGGCAATCCACCCAAACAGCCAAAATAAATATTTAAACTTAAGTAAAGATGAAAATTTGTTCTAATTATTAAATTTGATGAATTTCGCATTCAAAATGGACTGAAAAGGACCTAAGAGGACTGTTGAATTTTTCATGCACTCAAAAACTGATCAAACATAGTTCTTTAAATTAATAATAATACAATTTCAAATAAAAATACAATTTCAAAAAGTGGATTTACCTTGTACATGAAGTCTAATAATGACTTCATCTCTGAATATCGTACATCCTTGAGAAATATAATAGGGTGTGGATGCGAGTTTTGCAGGAATATACTTTCAAAATACGGAGAACATGCTGATAATATTGTTTGATGCGCCTAAAAATAGAAAAATATTGAATTAATTATTGATTTGATCAAGCAATCCAGACTTGAAAAATGAAGATAATTTTATATTTGCACCTGAATTAATTTCAATACAATTTTGACAAGCATAACAGATAGAACACCGAATAAAACATTCTTATTTATTGTATTTCGAAAGATTGTAATAACGACATTATGAAATCTATTTAAACGAATTCGCAAATAGGAACTATCCTTAACTCTTCATTGTTACATAAATAACAATAATATCTTTATTCTTCTTAAAGCCATAACAATTTTTTAAATATCGCATTCGTGAAGGTCTCTCCAAATATGTTATCATCACAAAGTAAAATAGCCTACCTACCATTTTAAGCAAACTTATTGTCATTATAATTAGGTTACTAAGTTGTAGTTATTCGTGGATAGCTTTGAATTATTGGCATCTATTCACGTAATTGCGACGACAGACCTTTATTTATATAATAATACCTAAATGGAAATACATAAACTATTTTCAGTCATGTGTATCCACAAGGTGACATTGGAAATTTTATTAAAAAGGGGTTATTATAGTTTAATGATGACCTTAAAAAAAACCAATGTTATTAAAAACATTTATTTGTATAATATTCATAGAAATTGACATTCATTAACAAAAAGGAGAAGGTTATATGTTTTTTTTGTGTATTTTCGTCAATTGTTGACCGATTTTCACAATTTTATTTTTTTCGATAGCTCGATGGATGGATCGAGGTGGTCCCATTTAAAATTTATTGAAATCGAATAAGTACCTTTTAAAACAAAATAAATACGCTTTCCAACAGATATAACCTAAATATTAAGATGATATGTTATGACATGGCCATTTTAACTAAAAAAAAAAACAAAATATTGCGTATTTAGAATTCATTCAAAATCTGCAAGATTTTCTTCTATGTTGATGTATATTTTTTATTTTGGTTGATCGAAGAGGAAAGTCATAAATATTAGGTATCAACGAGTAAAGTATACATAGACATTTAATATTTCTAGTGCTACCTGTTACATAACAAAAAAAATAATATCCGTTAAAAACAATCAAATAATAACTTTTTATAAAAAGAAGAACCGTCTTCTACTTTAAAAAAGTGATGAATTATATTTATCTCAAAAGCGACTTATTTAAGAAAATGCTATTGCAGTGGGCCCCCTTATCATTTAATAAATAACCTACAGAAAAACTCCGCCTACTTTTTAAACATAGAAACTAAGATACTCATGACGACTGGGTAAAAAAAAGAAATTCCATTTAATCTGTCAGTCAGATAATAGAAAAATATTGGATACGTATATATATTTTTTTCAATTTAACAAGAAATAGCTTAGATAAGAGCCATTTTAAGTTGAGGAGAGGGCGCTCGCTACGTACGAGTTTTGTAGAAAATGTACCAAAGTATGATGTCATGTGAAATATTAACTCAATGTACCGCCGTAATTTAATGATTACTAAAATAAAATTCTTAAAAGACTTGTTTAATATTTTTAACAAATTACCAGACGGACAAACAAACAAATATCAATCGTCATCTCTATTGTGTTAAAATTTTCAATTACATCAATAATAGAACAAATTCATATGATATTTGATGATATTATAAAACTTAATAAATATGACAACTTTTTCTTTTACATCTTAACTATAAGAGTTAACATAAGAGAGAGCTAACCGAATGGACATATTTGGGATATGTTTTTAGCGTTTGTGTGTTCTTATGATGCTATGGATCATAAATAACAGAAGAACTCAGGATTGCCAATGATGACATCTTCGGAAGGAAATTCTAAAACTTTGGATGTCCCGGAATTGCGAAGCGAGGTTTATTAGAGATGGCCATCTTTTCTTACCGCGTTGCCATTAAATACCATCATGTTCTGTTCTTCGTTCTTCCTATTACTTCTGACAGAAACAGATGATGAAATATACTAAAGACTATCATCATGAGAAGTCATGACCTTAGCATCACGAAGAGTAATATGTAAAAGTGTTTAAATGAATAGTGATATACAATAAGGGTAGTTTTTAGAGAAATTATATCAAATTCAGTTATTACAAGCATTAAAGATGTAGAGGATAAATACAGGTCAATATTGAGAGGTCATATTTACTACGTGATTCACTTAGTAGGCATTCGATAAAATATACATGAATCTCCGGCGAAATTAATGTAAGTGTGATAAGTATATTTTTGGGATTGTTAAATATTTAAAACCACTCCAATCTAAACAAATAAGTTCTTTGTGTGCTTATCAAGTTTTGACCTATCAGTTACTTCGGCCAAATAAAATAGTACTTGAAAACAAGTGAGCTTATTCGTTGGAAAACCTAGCTTGCTAATTAGGAATGAATAATGTATTAATTGATACGGTCACGAGCAATAGGAAATATTACGCAAAGCTCAGCGCAGATAGTAGCATAAGCACATAAGAGTAAACAGACCTGACCAGATTATGCGTTATGTCACATTCATATAATTAATAATATGTGAAAAACTTTCAACGAGCGAGTGAGACTAGCGAGCAGAGGGTTCCGCACGAATATTGAGTTTTAAAAATGTAATACGATTTCCTGTAATCTATAGGTGTTTTTTTTTGTATTTTCTTTTCAAAATTTTAGGCCCAGTTGTTAGCAGAATAGTCAATTATTGCTTATTTTCTATAGTTAATGATTTAAAGATTTTTATTGTCCATAAAATATACAGGGCTATTTAGTAAAAGACAAACAATATCGCAAGTCTAGATAGTTAAAATCATAAATAAAAACATTTGTTTTATGACTTGGTATTAATATTATTTCTTGTGTATATAAAAAAGTACCGCTCGAATGTTAATCACTCTATGCGTATCTAATATCTCATGGTACTGCACATAAAGTGCGAGCATAGTGTCGTAAAACATATGTGTAAATGTCACGACGGTACAGTAAAAACTCGAAATTATTTTTGGCATTGCTTAACTCGATTTAGTTATTCTGTTGTGATAAGTTGCTGTTTTATAAATAACCCTGTATATTTTTAAAATAAACCTTTTATTTTGTATGTTAAACAATTTTTTTTAAAAACCTAATCTGCTAAAAGAGACTAATTTATTTACTACAGATGCGACCGCCTTTGAGTCTCAACTTACATAGGTATGTGGACTAGACCAAATTTCAACTTAATAGACCCTTTCGGTTCTTTCGGAGAAAATGCTGTGACAGATGGACAGACAGACAGACGGAGAACTGAGTAATTCTATAAATGTTCCGTTTTTTGTAGATGCGGACAGAACTCTAAAATAAGCGATATTATCAAGTACGATATCGTCGTCAATTTATTTTTATTATATCAGAAAAAACCAATAATACAAATTTTAAAATGCGTAGCGAATTCTTTATAGTATAATAGCTTTCTGCCAGCGGCTTTTCCCGCGTGGTCCCTAGGGAAGTGTTTATTGGGATAAAAAGTAGACCACGTGCTAATCCAGGCTTAGAATTTAATTATTCATTTGAATTAGGCTTCATACCATGACACAGATATATTGACAAATTGAAACAATGGTAACTATGGTAACGTTTGTATTCACTATATAAAATTCCACTTCCTTTTTCATCCCTTTATTTGCTGATTTCGGGATAAAAAATATCTTATATCCACCGCATATGATGTAACTTCCGGTAGGTGAAAGAATTTTTTAAATCCATCCAGTAGTTTTTGAGCCTATTCGATGCGAAAAAAAAAACAAATCTTTCCTCTTTATAATTATAAATAATTAAACTTTATATATAAAAATATAGATGATTTTCAATAGGACTATTGATAGTTGGACTGATTAGGTGCACGATACTGTCGATAGGCTACCATTACAATTTTTGGATTAGAACAAGTTGTAACTCAGCATTTGTTTTTGTTTTGATGGACCACCTTAAACTTATGGAGGCAGTCGGTGCAGAGGTATTTATTGCTTTATTTACTATGGAATCATGTTAATGTAACCCTTGATATTAAAATTTAAAATTCAGTACATGTAAGAGAAAAAAATAAATAAAGAATCAACTCTTAGGTCACTTATAATTTATAAGTAAAGAATTAATAACTGAATTTAATTAAAAAACTGAGTATGCCAGAAAAAGCAATTTCATTTAATATGTCACTGATAGTTACCAAAACTTTTATTTTCAGAACTTTCCAAAAGTGTCTATTATGATTAAAATTAAATTTATGTCCGATAAGTTATACGCCCGTATTGGGTCACCGCTTATGTTTACCTAATACCTAACTTAATCAGTCAAGTAATTTCGGATTAAATTAGCTGTGACAGACAGAAGGTTGGACTTACGGACAGATAACCGTGTGATATTATAATGGTTCAGTTTTTCGAAGAAGGTACTGAACCCTAAAAATTTGAGAGAGAATTCGAATTCGAGATTCGTCACATAAAGTATAAAAAAAAATATAGGTGCAATGGCAAAACTAAACAAGATTAGTTTTAATTTGAAAATCCATTTATAATGACATACAAATTTATTATCCAATTTTTTCTAACGATTCCACACCCAAATTATTCACGACTAGTCTAGACCCTAAAACCTGCCAAACCACTGTCATAAAAATTAGAAAGTTAGTCAACATGCAGCTTTTCTATAGACTCCTTTCAACCTACAAAACAAATTGCATTTTATTAGCATAAGAGTTTAACTTTCATAATTGTTGAATTTAAATGGCAAAGGATGTGGTCAGAGGTGTTATTGACCTTTAAATTTCAAAACTGTACATCGTACGGTGCTAACGTATAAATGATAAGGGACAGTATCAATCGCGTTCGGGTGACTATTTTAAGTATCTACGGTACAAAATTCATCCACATTTAGAGTTCGCCTGTAAAACCTCTAACATTGAGCGTACTTGGTATCTCGTGCCGTTACAAAACATTATTAACACTGAGAATACCGCACTAGTAGTGACGTTGACTGCAAACTCGGTTATCATTAAAAGATACAGGTACTTTCTTGTAGCGCATCGGCGTATTTATGTTAGGTAATTAATGTTACATAATATGTTAAACTTCCTTAGCTCCTATGTTTGTGGGAAGAATTGAAAACGTTTGACGCATTTAATGCGCGTCCGTATCGCGATATTTCATCGGTCGAATAAAATCCGTGCGGATTAGGAGTATAATATTTCTAGGGCATTGGTTAAATTTCTGTCAAAAATAGGCTAATAAAATACTCCATATTTAAATTTTATCTCATTACTACATAGTATAAAACAAAGAATCTTTCTCTGTCCCTATATCCCTGTGTGCTTAAATCTTTAAAACTAAGCAACGGATTTAGATGCCGTTTTTTTCATAGAAAGGGTGACTCTAAAGAAAGGTTTTTATGTATAATACAAGACCACGCGGGCAAAGCCGCTGACGAAATATGAAATATAACATAACTTTATTTTATTGGTTAAATTTTAAAGTTATAAAATTAATAATTGATTAAGTTTTAGGGTGGATAAAGTAAATAATTCAGGTCTAATTCAATCCATAATAAAAGAGGTTTGCAATCTGCCTATTTTATAGTTTCTTTGTTTTTAAATGGTAAGTAACTCATAGGGTATAACATTTAATTTACTTATAACATCTGTTTTTTAGATATAGTGTAAAATAGGAAACACCATTTATTACTGAAGTTGAACGTTTAATAAAATCATGCATCAATTTTGATATTATAAATTTTGTTATTTCTTCAATAAAAATCGGATATAATTGTCTTGTAAATAATGTAAAACTTATAGAAGAAAATAAATACAGAAAGCTTATGAAATATTAAAATATTTGAAAAATGGAAGTAGATGTTAAAAACCTATAGAAAAAGCAAAAACCTGATGACGATTGTTGAAAAACATTAAACACATATCATTTATTTCTTTTCGTAATTATTAAATGTCAACAGCAATATATTAAGTTGTCACATGACGTCATGCTTTTGTAAATTTTCTAAAAAAACTGTGATGTAGTGAGCCCCCACTCCTCAACTATTATCTGTTATCTAAGCTATTTCTTGTTAAATTGAAGTAAAAAAATACGTATCTAATATTTATCTATTATCTGATTGACGGACTAAATAAATTTTTTTTTTACCCAGTCATCATCCCTATTATTAAAAAATGTGTAATGTAAAATAAATACTATAGACAATTTTATAAAACCTGAAATTCAAAGCCCAGTTATAAGTGAAGACTTATGTTAAAAATATGTATTAAATGTACTAGTTTCATAATTTTATTTGTTTATTTTCTTATGGTGTGCTGCTGTATTCACAGTCGTTAATACCATCCAATCCACATTGTACCAACGTAGAGGGTCATAGCCAATCCTTCTTAACCATTCTTAAGGAAGGCCTGAGCCCCTGCAGTGGATATGTTAAAGTACTGATGATAATGATTGTGTAGCAAAGTACTAACTTATTTCAAAGCTGATATCAACTTTATGCAATGTAAATTTATATAACCATTAATCAAAAATAAGGTATTATAGCATTGGCCACATGTTTACTACTGTGACCAATTTGTTTATGAAAATAAATTAAATAAACAATCAAATTCTTGCATCACTTATACCATCAATGTTTATAAACACCTATAGTATAATGATTGCAATAAATTACATGAAATAAAAATTTGTTAATAACAATTTTACAAAATATTGCATCAAAATTATTTTATGGTAAGAGAAATGAATCATAATTGTCTTAATGTTTCTTAAAATAAATAAGGTTTGTTAAGTGTATTTAAAAAATATCTTAACACCACACTATACACCTATAAGTTCTAAGCTATATGAATGGAAAACACATGAATAGTTAGAAAAAAGTAACCAGGTTGACATCAAGCCACCTTGTATATAATTGCATGTGCGATTATTACACTGCAAAAAATAAGTTGTTTTGTTATATTTATATATTAAATCATTAAATGTTATTATAATTTAAGTAATCTTTTGTCTGATTGTTTAATGATTAATGTTATAATATAAAATTGAAATTTCAACATCTTAGAAAGTCAACAATCATTGAATAATTGAAATCAGATAAAACCTAATCAGGAGACATTTTTCTAATTTTTCCAATAAAATTAACTAACAAAAATGAAAGATAGATTTGATTTTCTATGTATCTACTGTCAGTGTTATCATTTATATATTTACCAATGAGAAATAAACAAAAGACTACCAAAGTTAAATATTTTGTAACTAATAATATTTTATGAGGGGATTACAATACCTTGACTGTCTCTCCATCACAAGCCAGTGTAACATCACAGAGAGCCTCTCTTTGCAGCAGGCTCGCAAGCACATCAGTCAGGTTGTTTGGGTGATTGTTCCAGCGCAAACAGAATTGCTGGTCCATTGTAGGTGCTAATGTCAGTGACCGTGCTGCAAATAACATAACATTTTACAGAGGCCATTTAAAAAAACAATATGCTTACGCCAGCTTCATAACACTGTCTGTATTTTACTTTCATAAATAATTTGAATGCTGAAAATCTACACAAACTTGCATCACTGGGTATTATTGAAACAACCGGTAATTAGAGACGTGCTCTGGTTATCAAATTTACATTATGATACAATGTGCAAAAAATTGGCGGCCATAGGGCCTAGATAGAAGAGCGCAGAGATAAGTGACATCAGCGGCTCGAATTAATGGGGGCCGCGGGCAGTGAGCTTACTGTACTCCACATTGACAGTTAGCCCGCCGACACATATCTACTTGTTGCATGCTCCAAACAAGACCTATACATTATGTAATTTAAATCCAGAAGACGCACCGCGGGGCCACCGACCCTACGGGACGCGGAAACCTCTAGCCGCTTCTATAAACGAGTTTAAAAAAGTAGTACCGCTCGCCAAAAAAATCGCAACATGCTGACACCGTTATAATCGCCAAGCTGGATGTCCCAGTTGCTAAGTCCACACGCGTGATATCAGGAATCTAAAGATGCACCACTATTTGTTGTTATCACAGACCACGCCGCGTGCTTAGAAATTGAAGACCGAAGGTGTATGAGGCATCTAAACGCGTAGTTGTGTCAACTTTGGCTATTCGTAGCGCCATTTGCCGATCTCGTATCACAGAATCTAAGAATTTTAATATCAATCGACTCCAAATTTTCTCTTAGCACAACAATTACTTCACTTACACCACCCGAAACTTATTTTGCAACACTGCAAGTCAATAATACCCTAACTCACCATTTGCAAAAATTTTGCCATCACAAACGCCACCCGACCCCTACCTTGCACTGTCTTTTTGACCACACACACATCTCGATTTCCGTGTTCACTCACGGCCTTCGGAATATCTTTCACATCATAATTCGGCCAGTATTCGCAACGCGAACTTCACACGTTTCTCATTTTACCGCGCTCAATTCAAATTTTGCATTCCCTTCCAGAAAACGATTATTTACTTATTTATAAGTTATATGACTTTATAAGAAAAATAAAAGAAATCTGTTTATTCATCAGAAATAATTTTCAAATAATACCTATGGATATTATCAAAAAGTGTTTTAAAATTAGATAAAAGACGAAAACCAGCTCTTCTCGTAGCGAATTTCTGTTGTAGTAAATGAAATTTTAAAAAAAATTGCTACATCTAAAAACATTTAACAATTAAATCATGCATAACCGCATAACGTATTCGACATCAATATGTGATTTTATTTACTTCTATTTGATTAAAATAGACTACAACGTAACCATTATTGAACGTTGGCCTTGACATTATTATCAATTTTTGCACATGGACACACCAGTGTTGTCAGATAACGTCGCTAAAATTACACGCAAAGTTACACAGTTGTTAGCACCATCGTTTATGAATATTATTATTTATGAATTTTGCGTTCACAATGTTTTAAATTTAATTATATTGATATAAATTAAAAATATTATTCGTCAACATTTTTCTTTACATCGATGTTGTGGGTAACTTAATTTTAAGTGATTTATATTTAAGTATGGCTCTTTAGTTCACACAAACAAAAAATGGAACCCGAGCGCGTCATTACACTTATTGTGACTGTCCAATCAAGGAGCTAGGCAAAATAAAAGGTTTTGTTAGATACGGCATGTAATTTCTCTATAAGCCTTACGATTTAATAGATAAGCTGTTTCAGTTGAGCAGAACCCATCTACAACAGCTATACTCTGTTATAGCTTATAGAGATTTCCTGTGTTGGAAAGAGATATCCACACGGTGAATGTTTCTCTCTATTATAGCTTATGCAACTTATATGTGTTAGAAAGAGATCATGTCTTATTTTTTGAGGTTGCCCCTGTTTTGTGTCTGCTTTTAATTAACTGCCTCCATTGAATAAACTTTGAATCTTTTTTTTTTTCTAGTGTTTGACAAATTTTGCATTCATAATGCTATATTGAAACATATTCTTAGTTAGCGAAAAAAATATAAAGGTACTTTTACATGTATTAAGGTTTTGGGTAGGTAACTTAATTAATTTTAACTAAGATATTTAAACACAGACGAGCTGAGTTAAAAGAATCATGATCAATTTTGATCAAATATTTACTAACGCATCTAGTGTTTGATATCTCTTAAAATGTAGCTTATTTTTTACTTATTTCATATCAGGAAATTAAATCTTAAAATATATTATTATTTATATATTATTTTATATATTATTATTTTTAAATAGTACCCTAAAATGATGGTTTGCCAAACTACCTCAATGCGATTCGCACCCAATGACGGTTTGCTACGTTTCATTTCATGTATTACGAAAGAATATTTTTTCGTCATACGGTAAAAAAGTGCACATCAACAATTACAATTATGGGAACACACATCATATTATGTAAGATTAATTCTGTTTAAAAGAGATTGTAATGCAATATCTAATTCATAAATAAAAATAAATTTATAAATAAATGGTATATGCACCATGAAAATACGGTAATTATCATACAACTAGCAATACACACAATACACGCCACACATGTACAACACAGTCAGTCACCTAAAAAGCGCCATCTGCGAGAAACTACAAACTGGCATAGTACTTGCATTTGCGAGTTACTGATAAATTTAAACAGATGGAGCTGTAAGCATAAACAAACGGTAACTATACAGTACATTAATGATTTGGTACAGCACAGTAGGTTGTGTAGTTTATACCTACTTATGAACTGCTGGATGTAGACGTAGGCATAAACTAGTAAGACATTGACCCCATCAATACGCTATTTAAAGTGGATAGTTAATGGATTTAGTTGTTAACTTTTTACTATTTTGTATGTAGGCTTCTATCAATTCATTAGTAACCTACTTAGCACATTAAAATAAGCTAACATAAACGTAGTTTCTACTTAAATAACAATTCCTGATTTTTTTTTGCTTGTATCAATAAAAGCAGTTCAAAAGAAATGTGATTTTCTTATTTTTCGTCACTGAAAAAATATTAACAAACTACCAATTTAACTTTGTATATCTCACTTAATATTGATGTTAGAGATTTTTGTAAAAAAAAAACTATAAAAATAAAGATTTTTAGGACTCAAAAATATTTCTAAGATTCGACATTCTTTTTGAAAAATGCATTCTTTTAGATAATTTTACGTTTCAACCTTCCTACCAAAAGAAAAAAAAATAACAAAAATGATGGAGTTTTAACAAATCCAATTTCAGCTTTCGAAATAAAAAATATTAATGGAAAGTAGTTCTCAACTTCATAAAGTAATCATCGTGGAGGACAAACTAAAAGTAGCTTACAAAAATAGGTTTACTTAAATTATGACTATTAGTTATAAATAACTATAACAATAACGTCTTCAAGTAAACATGTTAACTTGCATTCTGATATTTAAATATATTTTATCAAAATCTATAATCAGTTTTTATAATAAAGCTCGGATACATCGGGAAATCCGGTGAAGCCACTTAAATATAATTCTTCTATCACTTCAAATTTGGCGTAGGTACATGCCTGAACACACCTATCGTCTGCCACAAGGATCTCCTATATGTAAACAAACAAAGCTGGCATATTTAAGTATACCATTTATATGAGTGAATTTCACAGGAGAAAATTTTACTAACTAATTGATTTTAAACTAATCGACTTTTTAATAGAATAGATGAATTTAATTCCCATATTTTACCAAATTTGTAAAATAAAAATAAAAGCCTAAAACTTCATTCATTATTGTTTATTTTGTGACTATTTATTACATAGATTTTAATTTTTAGTAACAACGACATCCTAACAATCGTCACTTCCGCTTTGACAAATTACATATTATTATGCTATTTGAGTATTTTGAATTTACCGCATTTATTTTGCATTTTATATTAATTATTTTCCAGATAACGAAATGATTTTAAAAATTATTTACATTATGCATTATTATAAATCAATAACGTTCATTATAAAATATATTTAACATATTTTTAATCGGCCCTGCGATTCTGTAAAAATCCAATCCACACCTAAAAGAATTCGAATTCGGGTTTGGAGTTTTACAGAATCACAGGTGTTGAGGATCGTCAGCTGAACCGACCTTTTTTATACGTTGTCTTTGTTTTTATAGTTTTTTTTTATTATATTTGATTTTTATTTAATTTTGTTTTTGTATTGACATATGGATTATTATTGATTGTCACGTGCTTTTGACGAGGACATTTGTTTTGTGGACAATATAGTTTTGAGAAGATAAATTGTTTATTTTCACACCTGTGCCCACACCATTCCTCGTCACCCTCTTCGTCGATAACAGCAGGGCTGATCCATATTTCCTATTTCTGAGTTTTCTGTGGCTTTTGGGTATCCATTGAAATTACGAAATTTTACAGAAATTATTTTTGAAGAGAAATAATATTTGTCATGTTGAAATAACCTACTCTATATGTACGCATAGATGTTTTATTTTAGGTAAAGCCATTTTATATGTGTAGGTAAATTATAAAGCACATTTTTAGTTCATTCATTGCCAAAAATTTGATTTCGTCACCGTTTTCAGTTAGACTATTCATAGTCGATGGCTAGATAATGTACAGACGATGTAACTGAGATCCACAGTTTCAGTACATTTGGCTCATTGACTTTAATAGTGGCCATGAGTGGGTCAATGAACTCTGCAATAAATATGCGAATTTGGCCTTCTACTCTATCACATATGATTCGAAATAGGACAAACGTCTGTCTACCACTTAATAAGAATAACTAAATATATCGCAAAGATTTGTCTATTATACTTTTAGATAATAAAAAGTGTGGTAGCCATAGCCATTTAAGATTTATTTTTTACTACTATTTTCATTTTAACACGTGATTTCAGTTACAACTTAAAGAAATTATGAGAAACTGTGACCCAAATTATTGTATTAGAAAAATTATTGAGCAAGTTCATACTTGAATTGCGGTGACATTATGAAAACTTCTTTGGGAAACGGTATTTGTCGTAGTCACGTGTTGATGAAATAAACAATTAAATTATATACGTTATTATTTTGTATTTAACATTTTTTATTTCGAAAGCTGAAATTGGATTTGTTAAAACGAAACTTTGTTTATTTCGCGTAGATAAAATTCAATTTCGCCTATTTGAAACAGCTACTCAACAAATAACTTTTATTTTCACTTTATTTACACTGAGTTTCTTGTTACTACGAATGCCACATTAAAATATTTTTAGAATAACTAAGTGTGTATTAACTTTTTTATGCCTAAAGGTAAAATTTAATAAAGCATATTGTCATGGAAATTATAGGATTATATGTTAATTAAAGATATGGGTTGAATCTGAATATAATATGTATATTTAAATTTAGGAAATGTAGGATGGGATAATTATTTTGATTTTTAATTTATCCTAGTCAATCCATGAAGAAAATAATTTTAGTGAGGTTTCCATTTTTCGTACGATAGCCTAAAAAAGAGTATCGTGTTTATTACACGACCACCCTGACAGACTGTTAAAAAAATATCTTTTATAACAGCAATACGGATGTCAACTAGGAGGAGTTAATGAGTACATTTCAAAATAAATCTACCTAAAATTAAATAACATGACTGTCGACTCGGCTTCGGGGACCTTTCTGTCGAACACAATAATTTAAGAAATCTAACTAGATTGTAACTAGTATTTTAAACCTAGTATGCCATAGTACAAGTTGTTCTTTTATTAAATTTTTATTTTTTTTCTGGCAGTCATGTATATTATTATCATTTAAAATTAATTAACAAGCATTGGAATTAAATGTGGAATCTAAGTAATTTCTTTAAGAGTCTATGCATACTACATAAAGGATAATCG